TTGCCAACCCACTTGCTAAGAGTGACCTATGTTCAGCAGTGAACTTTAATGGGCTGTAATGTTAACATTATCCTTAACCTATCATTAACTGTTATCGGTTCCAAGAATAAATCATCTCTGTCCTCTAAATAAAAAGGAGGATTGATAAACAAAACTATAACATTTATTTAATTCTATATAAAGGTCATTAATGTAAAGAGTATGAATATAAAGGGACTTAGAATCGACCCCTGAGGGATACCCTTACCTTCACTTTTGATGGCACTTCTCTCTTATTCTGAAATTCTGAGGAGCTGAGGGTGTTGGAATATTAAGGACAGTAGCATGAGCATCATAATATTTAAGTTATTCAACAAATGTCATCAACTTTCAGCAATACCAAGTTGTCACTCCATCTAATGGGGGGTCGTAGATTTTACATCCAACAGGTGTCGGTGTCGGTTTTGCGAACTGAATTGTCTATTGCTACTTCAGCTAACTAATCCTTTGGGCAATGTAGTAAACCGCGTACCTGCAATACATCTAGATCTACTGCCCAGCTGAGTTGTATCCGTCGATTGACCTCTCGGTTCGGTCTTGTCGGTCAATTCGTTATAGTCAATCATACTCGTCAAGAACTTCGAGCACAGTGTTCCAAACAAACTAACGGCATAGGTTGACATGGTTACATAATATGATATTTGTTTTGTCCATGTTCATCTCAAGACTTAATCTGTTGGAAGACACTTTTGGGGTCATTCCAATTCAATATACGACGGCTCCGTGGCGCAGTGACTTAGCAATCAGTTGTTGCGCTGGGGGCCGCGGGTTCGAATCCCGCACGGAACAATTATTTGTATGGTCTACAAATAATTGTTCCGGGTCTGGATGTTTGTCCTTGTGCAATTTATGTTTGTAAACTGCCTCCACGACACAGGAGAAAATCCTAGTGTGGGGGTAACGTTTTTATATAATATAAAAAAAATAGCTTGAAAATATCTTCCAATTGAGCGGTGAAGAGTTTCAGGAGTATAATGTCACCAAGTCGTACTGTCTTACACCTCAATTGAGTTCGCGTCTGTTTCACATCTCCAGCGTAGTGCCACCATGGGAAACGGAATTGAATAGTTTCTAAAAGATTAAATTTCGGTTTTCTACACGCTTTGGAAAAACTGTTCCAATCTCGCTCAAACTTACATCGAGTTGATCCCTGGCCCAGTGTCAGATAACAATTATCTTGCTATTGGATCTTTACTCACACTTGCTTATGGCTTCAACGAGATGTTTGCAGCTGTCGTTAAAACTACTCTCAGTCTCTTCCAAAATCTTAGGTCGCCCGGAAATGACGTTGCCACAGCCAAAACTACAGGCCCAATCCCCCTGCCCCCTTAACTTGGTAGCGGAGTTAAATAATACACTACCCCAGGAGGGTACCAGCACCCCCGGTGACGGAGAATCCCTCGCTGAGCATTCACGCCCAAGCTACCCTACTCTTCCTGAGCGTGGGTGCTAAGGCTGCCCCGCGTATATGCGTAAAGCGTCGCCGAGTACCGGGACAAACTTGTGTCTGAAGCTTTTGTGGTCACTTGGAAGAGAAGGCCAAAATGGCCTCTAAGCTTGGCGTGTTCATCAGAGCGGGACAATATTTCATGCTGGCACACCGCCTGCAACTTTAGAAGGCGCATGTTCGGCCGCACATGGCATACTGTTCCCATCTCTGGGCTGAGGCCAGCAGTGCCAGCTTCTTCCATTTGATCGCATCCAGCGCAGAGCTGTTGCGTCGGTGACCGAACTCTTTCCGATCGGCTTGACTCAATGGCACTGCGAAGAGATGTTGCTTCTCTTTGCGTATTTTATCGCATTAACTACGAGGAGTCCTCTGAGGAATTGTTCAGACTAATTCCAGCCGCATAATTTCACCATCGCAAATCGCGACAAAACTCATGATACCATCATACCATCTGGATGACTGGCGGTCCACCACTGTGCGATTTAAAAGAAGTTTTCTTCCTCGCACGACTTCCTTGTGGAATCGACTACCACCAGAGATTTTTCCGGACCGATACGATTTAGGGACCTTCAAGAAAAGAGCGTACTCCTTTTTAAAAGGCCGGCAACGCATCTCCAATTCCCCTGGTGTTGCAGTTGTTCATGGGCGGCGATAATCACTTACCATCAGGTGAGCTGTATGCTCGTTTGCCCCCTCTCCTATAAAAAGGTGCCTCATTCCGGCAGACAGATTTCTGACTAAGACTTTGGAGCCTCCTTTTACTTTAATACGAGCTGTATTGAAGTTTCGTAAGTCACCCTATGCATTTGGAGATTTGTCTGTTCAGTTACCTTTACGCTGTCATATCTGTTGAAGCTGCAGCTGAATTTCTCGTCTAGTAGCCATGATTTTAAAAAGTGTGATCAGATTTCTTTTATAAATTACAGTTTTAGTTCTCCTGTGCCAGGTCTAGTAAAATTTAGCTACGACCGCATGGACAGTTTCCATGAGCTTGCCACTGTATTGCAATGTTTCACTATACGTGGTAGCGCCAAGCTACAGTTGTATTATGGTTGTAGCACGAAGGGTCGGCTGGACCGGGGTGGGATCACGCTCTCACAGTATACCAGCGTAAAATAGCAGCTTAATGTGAGTGTAGAGAACCGGAGACACTTTTTACTAGAATCGAGGCATTCCATCTTAGTCCTCGGGGTGACAACGTATTTGCATTTTGATTCTTAATAGAGAATCAATGTAGATGTCTATGGGCCACATCACCACTTACCATTAGGTGGACTGTGTGCTTGTTTTTCGTCTTTATCATAAAAAAATCTTCTAGGCTCTGAAAACGATTTTATTATGCGAGCTAAAAGCTTTCGGTTCGAGGCTTTAAATTAGAACAGGAGTGATCGCTACTAGTTTTTATCTCGCGATCACTGAGACATCTCTTACTAATTGTCGCTTGGTAATGAAGCCAATCTCATTTTACATCGAACTGTCTTGGCTGGACCAGTTCTACTTTTTGCGTGGTCCCTTGTGGAAAAAAGAGTTCATCACAAATAGTCCCTATTTCTACATGAAGTCAGGCAGCTGTTGATCTTTAACGAATACCATTTGTTGATTCCGAGTATAAAGTAAGTATTACACAACACTTGTCGGCACATTCACGATCATGAGCACGTTGTTAATGAGAGCCTTGTGGATGATTAACCCGACACCTTCTTGAGACAGATACCGGTGATAAAAAAAATAGATAGAATAGATAGAAAAATTCCATGTTTACCGAGTCCATCCTCTCTTCGGACCTCAGATTATCCAATAATATCCCAACGCAACTTGTCTATCACTTATCGCTCTCTTCTCGTTAGTCCTCACGGTGTGTACGTTAAATGTTGCTAAAAAGAATCGGCTTGGGTAGCAACCGAACAGACTTCCTGCCCAGCCGTTACCATGATTGCCACCGAAGTCAAGAACAGCGGGCCTTCCGTTACTCATGCGGGAATGTATGCCATACTCTTTTAGTTGATTTTTGAAAAACGTTACCTAAACACTAGGATTTTTTCCTGTATCGTGGGGGCCGTTTACATAAAATTTCGCAAGGACGGTTTTTATTTTTAAATTGTTATCATTTAGAGTCCTGCCCATCCCTGTCTTGTACTATTTACTTCTATCGCATCTAGGACACCCATGGAATGATATGGGGTAATGGATATTTTTACGCCACCGTTACCGTTACCGTCTATTAAACTCCGCTGCTGAACATAGGCCTCCCCTATAGATTGCCTCATAAGGGGGATATTTGCCATAGTCGCAAAGGGCAGTTTTATTTTTTATTTTTAGTCGTTATTAGGAAGACGCTGCTGCCCATTTCCCTCTGTCGCTTCTTACGACACTCACGAGATGTAATGGAGTAGTGAGCATTCTAACACCGCCACTTGAGGGTGATAATGAGTAGCTACATCTTATTTCTGCTTCACGTTGAATATAATAAATAAATATTTGACTAACATATTTGTGAAACGATACTGCTGGCCTGGTTGTATAATCACATCATCAGCTTGTTTAATCTGGGTTTTGTTTAGTCTACTGCTGGAAATAGTATTTTCTTCCTGAGCTGATACAGTATGAAATATATTTCGATGAGTGTGTTGCCGATACTTTAGCACAGATGTTGCAGATGGTTAGTTGTCAATATTTTGTTTTAATTAGAATGAAGTGGATCTGGTCTGATTCAGCGTTATTTTTGAAAATGCAAGATCTAGTCAGAAAACCTGGCCACCACGCTACGTGTTTATGTCTAAATCACAGCTGGACGCAACATATGTGCAAACTGTGTTGAAACTGTCGTGTCTCTGACAATGCATATAGCCTACCTTCAATTTTATCGTATAAACTACATTGAGCTTGCACGAGTGTGTATTTGTGTTTCTGCGTACACTATATTTTGAGTGCTATAATTTTGTGGCGCCGCTGCCACCGCACCACAAAACCACAATGACATCAAATGTGCCAAACAACAACCGAAGCCTAAATCACGCTATAGAAGTTTCTGAATGACTGCATACATGTAGAACAAGCTCCGCACCTCGGGATTTTCTGCGCAGTTGATAATATCCGACTATTTTTAAGTGGTCACTGTCACCGATATCGGTCAGGAGGACATTACCATATTTTTTTTAAAGATTCTTCAAAATAAACTTATAATAATTAAAATTTGAAGCGTCAGTAGCCTAATGGCAGGACGTGGACCGCGAACTCGAAAGGTCGTGGGTTCGAATCCGCCATTCGCCTACTGTCGTGAACCCCTTCTAACACAAGCAATTTAAGCTTACCAGAAGTGGTTAGAAGGAATATTAGTAATGTTTAACAGCATTACTAGTATTTTTTTTTAAAAATCATTACTTGCATTATCATTAACTAACCACTTTAGTATTAAACTTGCAAATAAATTATTAGTGTCGTTAGAAACAAATTCTATTACTGCGTTATAAATATTAAGTAATAATATACTTATTATTTCTTTATCCAACAGTGCTTACGAAAATGGCACAGATATATCGGACGAGAATTTTTTAACTGCAGACAAGGGTTACGATGTTTGGGAATTCGAAGATGAAAGAGACAGCAAACGAAAACTAGAACTGAAAGACAACTTAGATACTGTGGTAAGTTTAAAAAGTTTTATAAACGTTTTCACTTTTTATCAAGTTTTTTTAAACTTTTACGATCGCACACCAATAATTTCTTGATCAGTCTAACAGTCATTACGAATATAATTGTTCTTGGTCTAACAATGTTATTTAAGCGAATGTTTTAAATTTCAGTATATTCAAGGTAGAGTATTTCTGCAACATGGCAGAATGCTACGTTCAGCGTCAGTCACATATCCATATAGTAAAGAACCGTATAGGGTGCATGCACGCCGTCTCGCTCCCGCGCACTGTTACATATCACCTTCAGAATCGGAAGAAGAACGATCGTCGCCCAAACGAAATAGCAAAAGCACATGTAAAATTCCAGCAAAGAGAACTAAAAAACAAATCAAATCACCCACTAAAAATGTCAAAGATGTGAACGACAATACAAAACACAAAGAATGTACCGTTCCTGCACTAAGCAAACCTGTTAAAGGAAAAGGAGTTGCAAAGAATAAAAGCAATAAAGAAAAAAAGGAACAAGAAGTTAAGGAAACAAAAAGAGATAAAAAGGAGAGGTTAGATGTTAAAAGTCAAGCATGTCCAAAGAAAGATGATATAGTGAAAGTGAAACAGGCTAAAGCCGATACAGCTCCAGCTAAAGTGGAACTCAAAAGTTGGACAAGGGATGAGGATAAAACGATGTTACAAGTATTAAAAGGGGAGGCTGGTTCAGAGCAAGTCTTTGGACGAATTAGGGAACTTTTACCGCATCGTTCAGCGACAGAAATAAAGGAAAGATTTTGTCACGTAATGAATTTGTTACAGCAAATGGCTGTTGGTGAAGTCACGTAGGGAATATGACTGAAATTTTAATAGTTTTAAGCAAAAAATATTATTTATAATTTTTATATAATTAAAAGTTATACTTGACTATTTCAACGTCTTTCAATGATCCTTTGCGACGCGTATAAACCTTAAAGATCTGCATATCTCAAACCTATTTTTATTAGAAGGAACATATTTTTTTTTATAGGATAAGGGTGACAAACGAGCAGTCCACCTGATGGTAAGTGGTTGCTGTGGCTCATAGACATCTACATCTATGCTCAATTACGAATCAAAATGCAAATGCGTTGTCACCCGTGAGGACTAAGATGTAATGCCTCGTTTTCAGTAAAACGGGTCTCCGGTTCTCTACACTCACCATACAAAACACAGCAGCATTAAGCCGCTATTTTACGCTGGTATTCTGTGAGAGCGTGGTCCTTCCCCGGTCGAGCCGACCCATTCTTTCTACAACTATACCAGAAATATGGCTGCAGCATGGCTCTACCACGTAAAGATGATGATATGATATAACTAACCAAATGACTATTGCCGAGTGTTTGTCGTAAGGGTCGACAATGGGAAATGCTAAGTCTTATGGCCTCCGATAGATGGAGGTATCTTGTATGTCTAGTTTAAAATACCTAACCGGTAACGAGAAGCAGGGTCAAAGGTATGAGAAATCTTGTTACTGAGATCGCCAATCTGCAGTGCATGTGAAGCATGGCGATTGCCTGTCTTATGGCGTCTCATCTCTACTCATGTCTTAAAAAAATTATAAGCTGGTGTACTAAAGAAGTGGCGGTTAGAGTACCTGCCTAATTTCTAGCAGTTAAATATACACTAAAGAAAACTATAATTGTTGGTTTTCAGAAGAAAAATAGTGGGTTAGCTCGAGGGTACCTTGTAGCGATGGGTCGTCGACGTATTTGTCGTTAACGAAACTAAACCGTTGGTTTTGCAGACGTTGTAATTTAAACACCGATACGTCGTCTATGGTTCGACATAGTCGACATACGTAGACCATAGACTAGAGTAACGGCATTATGTATTAAGTCGCCCTTCTTTTTTGCACACGCGATGATACCATAACGGCATCCTTTTCTCCACCTAACATAATAAACTGCTATTTATACTCTTACGCTGTCTACATGTAGAGTACGCTGTCTACTTGTGTGCGCAAATATGTCATTTCAACGAACATAATAAAACGTCTATGGTTTAAGACTTAAAATATACTGGCGTATAGACCCGACATAGTGTACAAGGGAGAAGAAAATTCCTTATGGCAAAAATGCAAGATAGAAAAAGATACCAAATCTCATTACTCTGTAACGGGTTTTTAATGACAGGTCGACACAAGTCGCCACGCAAGAAATAAGCTCCTAAATATTTTATAATTTTTTTTGCGTGTAATAGTGGCTATTTTTTAGTAAATAACTTTGTTTTCAAAATGGTTACTTGTACTGTGAGTGACTGTTGTGTTAATAATATAAATGATCTTGATAATTGCACATTTCACAGTAAAATTTTCAAGACGTCGTCAATGTTACGACGCGTTTATACTGTTAAAAGTTTAGAATGTTTTCAATTATTTTGATATTTTGCAAAGAAAAAAGTCACGTTGTTGATAATTTGCATGAATTTGGTAAATACATTTTAATATAAATATAAAATATTTTTATTTTATTAATTATTTTTATAAAATATTTTATATGTACGCTAGGGATTGACTCAACTATATCAAAGTTAATGTCGATATTTATCTTGAATGCTTATTGTACACGCCCTAAGCTGCCCCAACCAAGGTAGACTAGACTAGGGCCCATCAGTAGCCCAATCGACGAGCAGCAGAGGACGGGGCTCAAAATGCCTATGGGCAATTGACCTACACAATAGAGATAGGCTAGGTAAATAAATAGGACGTACCTGGTTCCGAGGCGAAGACTGCCCCAATCCTCGGTCAGGCCGTAGGTAGGTGTAGGTGCATGTAAAGTGGTGTTTAGTGGTGTGTATAAAGTTTGACCTGACTGGACCGTTGAAGTCTGACCGCAGATCCACCGGTGCTGCCTCTACTCCAAAGGTGAGATCTCTCAAAAGGGGGCGATCACCAATTGACAACTTCTCTCTTCATTTCACTATTTCAGTTTATCAACGTTATTGTACACTATTTCAATCCATCAACTTTATTGTACATTTAATTAACTTCAAACTCAACTAAATCCCCGTTAATCGTAATCAACAAAGTAACACCCGGCACGACTAAAGAACGGTGGATAAAAGGTCACTTCCGTTTCACGTAGCAACAAGATTATAAGATATTAAATACTACGCCCGCATTAAGATTCACAGTCAGCCTAGCTGGCACGCAAAAACTACATAGACAACACACAAAAGGCACACAAGCAACCAATCCGGTTTCGCACGAACGTCAAATGGTAGGAAATCACCGCTCTGCGCGCCCCCTGGCGTCGATTCTTGACATTAGCGTTTGGCGCTAACAAACCCCCGTCCCGGACATAAGGACCTATGTCTGCGAGTAAATTGGCAAACGGGACAGGGTCGCGACGGCACGTTGCAAGACCGAATCTCCGATAAAAAACCTCGGCCACCCTAGGCACCCCATCCGATCCTGTAACCTTAACCACCGCCTCAAAAATACAGCCCCAACGTGGGCAAGCCGGAGGGTCGAACCTCCACTGGATGCCCTTCCTGGACATCGCAGCACCTAAACAAGTCCCGCCACTGGACAGAAGTCCGACGACCTCTTTCAAACACCTATCTGTGCCTCTATGATTCGTTCCGCAATCCGACCGGATCAGGTCTGCAAACAGCGACGTGATACGAAGCGGCCCAGCGTGGCCACCTAAGCTTCAGTGCAGAGGGCACCCACAATTTCCACATGAACGGTGTCTGTGGAGAGGCAAACGAAACGCACAGATAGTCCTTAGTATGATTTTTCAAGCAAGTAGGCATAACCAAGCCATCTACCATATAATCATTTACTCAATTGTGCGGCAGCTGATTTCAATCTGATAATTTCACAACTAGCTAGCCGTTTTAGACATGTAGTCCTATGCTCATATTTCAACCAAATTTCAAAAGCATCAATGTTCAGCTACTGAATTAATTCACACATATTAATTTACCGATGCGCATAGATCAAACAGACAAATTAAACAAAACGATAAACGTACCAGACAGCCCATTTCTCCTTCCAAATAAATATCTTCGATAGTGCCAACAAAAATGTGAAAACAAAGAGAGGAATGATTCTTATTCCCTTCGGCACAAATAGTGTTATTCAATTTCAATTTTCTTTTCCACAAAGCAAACATAATGATCAGATATATTTACAAGAACATATGTACACGCATTCAAAGAGTACATTAAATTCGCCCTTTTACTAACAACCGCTACAACTATGAAACATTCCGCGGGAAACCCAAAGCATTTTTATTTTTAATTTAAAGCATTATTAATTAAGTGCTCGACCAAAGCCAAATCTAATACTCCTTGACAGCGTGATTCAACGCTCCAGGGGAGCCCTAATCTTCCCACCAACTAAGAAGAGGCCACACAGCGTTGTGAACCCGAATCCAATAGAGCGCGAACCGTTAAACAGTCGCCACTCGGGTTGTACGCCTTCACTGAGACCGTCGGCAACAGAACAGTTTGACAAGTGGATTATTGACAGCTCAAAGGCTCAGTGGAGGCGGCCGTGGTGGGAGCTAGGGCGGCAGCTACCTAGCTGGAGCAGCCTTCATCGGACCGACCCTCAAACCGGGGGTCCAGAAAGCGGCATTCCGGCGGCATCTCAACGACCCGTGGTTGCCACTCACCAAATGGGCCGACCTGGGGAACCTCGGCCTTGGCGCCCGGGACAGTCTTGAGGTCGCAGGAACCTGGTAGTACCGGTATCGACCAAAGGGAGGAGGGTGGTACTCCAGTCGCGGCCGCTCAGCTAACGGGGGTGAGGCGGTTCTAGCTGACCGCTGAGTGGCCGTGAAGCTCCTCTCAACACGCTGAGGGGGGGTGACGACCCCCCCGCCCCTGGGAGAACGACCCCCCGACTGGTCGGCCTGGCCGCTAGGCTGCTATAAGATGGTAGGGGGCGGCGCCCTCCCGCGGGAGCTCCGCTCGGCCTTAGGGGGGTTGGCGACGACTTACCCGTCGGATTCCGCCTTTCCCTGCGTACGGCTCGGTCGGCAGCTCGCAGGGCCTCTGCGGCGCCTGCTGCGTTCTCCATTTGCCGGCACTACTCCAAGAATCGCAGCAGGTCCCTGAAGGGCGGAATGTAGGAGGCGCCGTCCCCGCCGTACCTTTCCTCAAAATGGAGCCGAAGATCCAGAGGCAGTCGGGACAGCACAATGTGAAGCAACAAGAAGGACCATTCGTCCACCGGTAAATCCAGCCGCCTCAACGAGTTACAAGCCACCAAGACTGGATTTACGATGTCCGGACGTAGTCTGGTCTGGTCCTTAAGTAGCGGGAGGTTTATGAGCTGCCTAACGTATTCGTCCGTAATCCGCCGGACGTTGGCATACCTACCGGCGAGGAGGTCCCGAGCATTCTGGTAGGCGTCGTCCGACAATTTCAAATGGCCGCGACGCCCAGGGCCAGGCTCTAATGATGCCAGGAGGCACCCCATCTTCTGGTTGGGTGTCAAGTCCTTCCGGGCGTCCACTAAGCTGTCAAACAGACCGACGAAAGTCAGCCATTCGGAGAGGACCCCGGAGAACCTTGGCAGGTCCAGAGTCGGGAGTCGTCCTAACAGCTCCGGCTGAGTAGGCTGCTTCCGAGGGAACTCGGGCAGGCCACTCAGCCGAGCTTCACGCGCTTCATTAGCATACTTGGTCCCAGCCTCGATCAAGTCGTCCGTGAGCGAAAAGAACTGCTCGTAGTCAGCGAGGCAGGAGTCTAGGACTCCCTGTTCCGCATCATCCGAGGCTAATAGCTCTGTGCAAGCCTCCTCTACTACGGCCATTCGGGCCATGACCTGCTCGAGCCGCTTCTCAAAACTATGG